CCCCAAAACCCCAAAACCCCAAAACCCCAAAACCCCATTCTTCACTCGTGGTGTTGAAATGATATTTAATCTGAGTCAGATGAGTGTTCCTCAATCGCTTCAAATTCATCTGGTTTCTGATGGGTTTTATCGTTGTATTCATTCTCAATCAGGTCTACAAGAGCATTATTCATCTTCTCTGGGTCGTTAAAGTCTTCTCTATCCTCAACTTCGTCGATATTTTCAAGTCTATTAACATTTTTATCGTTCTCTTCCATTTTCTTTTGCAGTTTTTCTAATTCAGATTTTCTATCTAAAGCTTTCTCCTTTACAGTCTGCACTGGGCGGTTTGGTCTAGCTTTCTTAGAGTCTCTAAGAGTGACAGCAAGACTATCATAGTTATAATCAGTGTTCATATCTGCTTTCCTGATGTGCTTTTGGTCACGTTTCCTCATATCACTCTTCTTCTGAATTTCCTTATCATTTTGCTTTTTGGAAACCTCCAAGAGACTGACTTTCTCTCCTTCCTTTGGTCGTGGTTTGCCCTCTTTAATCATTTTCGCCTTTGTCTCAAGAAGAGGGAAGATGTCACCGAAGTCATCATCAAGCTTGTCAATGAGCTCCTCGTTCTGATCACGGAGTTCGGCTTTAGCTGCTTTGAAGATTTTGGATTTAGTAACTATTTCCTTGAACACCTCTTCTTTGGTCTTTTTGACCTTGAAGAAGTCGTCTTCATTGTCATCTTTATCAATGGTATTGCCTCCAAAGTGGAAATTTTTAACAATTTTGTCGTCAAGCTTGTATCTATCCTCCCCATTATCTCTATTCTTGAGATCTTTATCATCTCTGAAGTCGAAGGTTTCATCAAGAGCCTTTCCTCCATGAGTAAGCTGGATTTTCTGTAAGTCTTCTTCATCTGAGTCTAGCTCGAATCTCATTTTTCTCTTGTTTCTGCTTCTTTCAATGGCGAATCTTTCCATTTCACCGCCGCCTTTGTCTATAGAGGATCAGAAAGGTTTCAGAAAGGAATTTACCTCCAATAAGTCTTCTATCGTTGATGCCTCCTGTTTTACCACGATTCTTGTACTCTTGGACTAGTTCGATTCTAACATCTTGAGCCTTTTTGTGTGCTTTGTTTCTGAAGTGATTCTCAAATGGGTTCTCTTGCTCACCTAGGAGTTTAGAGGACGTAGGAGTACCTTTAGCATCTGCCTTAACATTTTCTACAAAAAATCTGAACTTCTTTCCTCTCTTTCTTTTACTTTTATTAACTATAAGAGTTATGCTAAGAGCTTAGAGCCAAGTAGAGGTACAGAAATATTGAGATGGCCACTAAGTAGAGTGTTGATATCGACCTTCTAAGTTTCGAGCTCCCTAAAATTACTTACCCTTTCCTTTATTAGTCATTTGCGAATTACACTCCCTTTTCAATAATTAATTAAAAGTAAGGGGTTTTGGGGTTTTGGGGTTTTGGGGTTTTGGGG